GCACTTCAGAGAGACCTCGTTCGGGGGCTTAGGGCTTGAGGGTTTAGGGGTTTAGGGGTTTCGGGGTTTAGGCTTTAGGGCTTAGGGGTTTAGGATTTAGGGTTTAGGGCTTTAGGGTTTTAGGATTTAGGGTTTAGGGCTTAGGGCTTTAGGGTTAGGGCTTTAGGGTTTTAGGGTTTAGGGTTTAGGGCTTTAGGGCTTTAGGGTTTTAGGGTTTAGGGTTTTGTGGTTTTAGGGTTTAGGGCTTAGGGCTTAGGGCTTAGGGCTTAGGGAAGGGAGGTTCTGGTTACTGGTTCGAGCGGGTTGATACAGAATTTCTGGATAGTTCTTTAGCAACATTGTCGTTCTTCAGGGTTCTTGTTGATTCATGTTTCGGGGCGGGATTCTTGATTTTTATCGTGGCTTCGTCGGGTTTATGGGGTCTTGTATGGGCTTGCGGGATTTCGACAGTTTTGGTCAGAGCCCGACCTCGAAGGTTTTGGCTGACCTGGTCTCCATATTATCTGCGCCAAATGCACATATTTCTACAACCTGTAAGGCATTTTCCCTTCCGCTTCTTACGCGGGCATCTTCAAGCCTAAAGAGAAACCCTACACGCCAGAAACTCCCACAAGCCCTGTAAGCTTGAACCGAGCTTCCGTGAAAGAGGGGTGCAGGAGTCATTGATGGCCGAGGCTTGGGAGGCCCACCTGAGGTCAGTCGGCATCTAGCTTCCTGTTTAGATGTGGGAGTTTCAGAAGATCCCGGCGCCCTGCGACAGACCCTATGTAATAGGATCCTAAACCCTAAACCCTTCATATAGGGACCGCCAGACTCCAATCGGGAGCCAGAGTTGTCAGATACCTCCATGCAGGCTTTGGTGTTGAGAGGGGGTAGCCAGTTATTATCCTTCCATTACCCCGGTAGAGCCAAGGCATAGCATCAAGATGACCGTGAAGGACAGCGATGTTGGCCATAGTTGCAACCGGCTGTTCTTTAGCTCAAGGGAGGAGGTCATCCTTGCTGGTGTTCCTAGCTGCCAAGCTGGTGTTCATGTGTATCGCGAGTAGGGCCGGTAGGGTTTGGGATGTAGGGCCCAGGGTCTACCCATAGGCCCCATCGAGTTCCTTTTTGGGGTTCATATGGGACTTTCCGAAAATAGGGGGTACCTTATATTGGGGGTCCTTATAATAAGGGTCCTACTATTTAGGGTACTATATTGGGGTCCCCTATTTTGGGAAGCCCCCATATTCAGAATTCTAGAAGATAATCCCCAAAAGGATCTACTATGGGGCCTAGGGTCTGGAAGTCCAGGATTTGGGTGTGACAGGGCTTTGGCAACAGCTGTGGGCCACTGTGTTAAGGCCCGGGACCCGTCTTTTGCGGGTAGACTAGAAGCCTAGTGATTTTTGCAGTAGGTTACTATGTAGGTGCTGCCTTCTCAAACAACCACAGCATAGAGTAACCAGTTGTGCAGGCAACTGGGTTTCAGAGGATTTCTACTCCGCTTGTGATTTACAGGTATTCAGAAGCTGCTGCTTGTGCCGATGGCGGCAACACCAGCATCAGCACCAAGACCATCACCGACAGTATCTGTGTGATATGATACGACTTCTTGGTGGAAATCGGCAATAGACATACCGATCGTACGAAAGCACGGGATAAATTCAAGCAGGACAGGGGCACCTCCAGCCCAGACCCAATGCCTCCGACCCAGAGAGTCATGCGGCTTGGTCGGGGGCCTCTTCCATATGGGAGTTTTCGAAAATGAGGGGTACCTTACTTGGGTGTCCTTATAATAAGGATCCTACTATTTAGGGTACTATGTTAGGGTCCCCTATTTTCGGAAACCCCCATATATCCGCAGGAATTCCAATTCGGAGCGAACCTCGTGTCGGCCCTGCATCAACCCTGACAGTTCATACTCGTTTGGTAACCTTGACAATCAATACAAGCTACCCCAAGAAAAGTGCTTCAAACTCGGGGTTTGATAAGACCTGAGAAGCAGGATCGTACCAGACACGAGCTGAACCAGATTGGGCTGCCAGATGGCACGCCCTTCATGACGGACGCCGAAGGCTGACCAGGGACGGTTCAGAGTCCAGGCTTTAAAGCCCTTTGGCCAAGAGGAAAGTAACCGACACCTTGAACCCCAAGCCTTCGTAGACCCAGACACCCACCTGCCGACGCCGTAGCCTGCAGAACTAGGCTGCCAGGCAGTTTAAGGCTTCAGTGCAAGTTTGCCCGAGCTTTGGTGCAGGAGTTCCATTTCGGTTTAAGTTGTGTTTTTGCGCAGGGGGCAAGCAAATTTCTTCCGATGGCAAGGCGTGCAACACTGGACGTGGGCCCGTGTCACCAACAACAAAGAAGAGGACACGGCAACCATGGCCTATCATGCTTTGGTGAGCGAGGAACCACAGAACCGAAACTACGTACATCCATGTGCGGAAGTGTTCAGAAGCTAGAAGTGCCATGCCTCAGTAATGTCGTGGCATGTTATAGGACACTGATCAAGAAACCTGCCCTATTATGCTGGGGTCATAGGACGAGGCATATGCTAATTTGTCTTGTAACGTCTTGTGACTATGCGGCAGTATCTCTGAGCCCCAAACCCCTAAATCCCTAAACCCTAAACCCTAAACCCCTAAACCCCTAAACCCCTAAACCCCAAAGTCCCTACAGCCACCAGTGCATCTGCCAAGACTTAACCTGTAGCTGAACATTCCAGACCGACCACGCCATGGACAAGGGCTTAGGGCTCAGGGTTTAATTTTTGGGCTTAGGGCTCAGGGTTTATTTAGGGCATGGGGCTTTGGGTTTATTTAGGGCTTAGGGTTTAGGGCTTAGGGTTTATTTAGGGCTTAGGGCTTTGGGTTTATTTAGGGCTTAGGGCTTAGGGTTTATTTGGGGCTTAGGGTTTTAGGGCTGGCTCCGCGTGCAGTAGCAGGAGCTGATCAACAAGCTCCAGAAGTACGGGGTGTGCCTGGACGAGTTCACCTGGCAAAGCTTCGTGGCGCCTCGCCTAAAAAGGGCTAAACCCTACTATCTAAGGGATCTATAATAAGGGTTCTATGTTAGGGGCCTTCAGGGCTTCATAATATAGGGGCCTTAACACAGTTGATGATATAAATCCTGCCTTTCCCATACCATAATCGGAAATAGACCATAATTCCCATAGTTTAGGGCACATTAAGGTAATGCAGGATGTATATCATCAACAATATGAAACGCAAGTTTGAGAACAGAAGGGGACTTGATGTACAGCCTGAGCCGGCTTCGCAGTATATAGGATCCTACAACAAGGACCCATAGAAGTGTGTCTCCCTTAAGGGTTTAGGGCTGAGGGCTTAGGGCTTTGGGTTTAGGGCTTAGGGTTAGGGGTTTAGGGCTTGGGGTTTTAGGGTTTACGGGAAAGCGTCGAGTAGGTGGGCCTAGTCACTGAAATCGGGATTTGGAGTGCAGGGTCTAAAGCTGATGACCACTCGCTTTTTATGACAGCCAAAAAATCACCGGAGCCCCTTTTGTCTTGCTGATCTCGTGTTTTTTCTGCCATTTTCCACGGATCTACGCCGCAGTCTTGAAAAGCTCAAGCCCGAACACTAAGCTTGGTCCCTTGCCCAAGAAAAACGAAAAAACGTGGAAAGACCCTCCCTCACAGGAGCTCTCTGACTCAGTCGACGACCCTAGCACTAAGTCCCCCCGATCGACCCTACTTACCCAAAAACTCTGGCAGCGCAAGGAGCTCTATGACGAAGTCTACGAGAAGCAGCAGTCGCAGCTGGAGCCCGTAGGGGGCGAACTGGTGAGGTGCGCAGGGCTCTGAAGGAGGGAAGCGCTTATAATTTCTTCTTAGGTGAGTCTGAGGGCTTTACGAATATGAGTTTTAGGTGTTGTATTTTGGTTCCGGATTCTCTCAGTCAGACGTGAATGGTTCCTTTATTTCGGGAGGCTGTGGAGGCCTACAGTACTGCTTCTCTAGGAGGTAGTTGGGAGTTTCCGAATTCACGGGGTACCGTATTTTGGGGGCCTTAATCAGGGTCTTATTATTTGGGGGCACTGTATTAGGGTCCCCTATGTTCGGAAACCCCCAGTTGCTGAGATCTGAGTTAGCACAAATGTTAAATTGTTCATGCACCGCATCCGTAATGCCTATCTATCGTGCTGAGGAGTAGCCAAGGCTGCTTGGCGGGGTCGTTTTGCTCTGTAGCCAAGGCTGCTTCGGGGGGTCGTTTTGTTCACTCCGTGAACCGCACACACACACACACACACAGAGGCCGAGAAGTAGCTGGAAGCGTATACATACACTTAGTTCAGAGGTTTTTGCCCGAAATTCAGGCACGCAGAACACTTTCAAACGCCCTTGTTTATAGGTTTACACATGCTAGGAGTTTTGGCATGTGGTTTTAGAGCTATGGCATGGCGCCAGCTGAAGCAGTTTGTGGTTGCGAAGTTAGTTTGGTGTGAACCGAGCCAGGGCAAACCCTAAGCCCTAAACCCCCTAAACTCTAAACCACCTGGAGGTATGTCCGCATCGTGAAGATTTGGCTTTGGGCCAACGTCCTGCTCCACGGTAGCAACGCCTGAAGACCTTATCCTAAGCCCTACAAAATCCGCTCCCGTTGTTAGTGCCGCGGTCCTCACTCGTAGTGACTCCAAGTCAGAGCGGCGGGGTTTCGACCGGACGGGCGATCATTACGTAAGGCTTTGTTTTAGTTATAGCGTTTCCGTTAATCCGCGTGGCTTCTCTTCAAGGTTTACTGTATGTCCCTAAACCCTAAACCCCTAAACCCTATCCGTAGCCATTTTGGCTCAAGCCATTTTGGCTCAAGTGCCAATCAGGTGGCTGTCCCTTAGTGCTGGTTGTCCCGCGCTGCGTTTGTTCTGAGGCCCTCCGAGTGTAGCTGCCACTGCTTGTGCTCCCTGTTCGTCTTCGTGCCCCCGTGCGTCCTGGACCACATGGCTACTCCCCCCGATGATCAGGAAACCCTTGATCTGCCCCCTCTGCATGACGACGACGTGAGTCCCGTGGGAGGCGGGCGTTTGATGGGAGGGGACGAGGATGCCCAGATGCGGGAAGCTGCCCACGCGGC